GTACAGTATCCCCAGTGTTGTTCTTTTTTGTTCAACTCTGCCAGACAAAAGGGACTGAAAATAAGACATCTGTGGCACACAAAGCTTCTATTTATATCAGTGTCACTGCAAGTACCAGGCAATGTGCTTTGGTTACTAAACTGACACCTCTTTGTTCCCATCATGAGCAAAACAAGGCTTCAACTGTGCAGAGAGTAGCATTGACAACAAAGGCTAACCGTCAGAAGAGAAAAAAACGCTATTTTAAGCTTCATAAGACATTTGAATAAGTTCACTCTGCAACACAAACATTGCAGGTTAGCATTATATTGACAACACTTGTGTGGTGCAAGTCTATCACTAAAACTCACTGGGTTAAAAACTACTAACCCAGCGTGGGTCAATGTAGCACCGACTTAATAATGGGTAAACTTTACCAAGTAGCAATGGGCTGTTTTGACCCAGTGTTGGTGTTATTTTTACATTACTGTTGGGCTCCTGGATCAAAACCAACCATCAAACAGAAACTAATCGTTCATGCACATTCACACACTGATGACACAGCATCAGGAGCAATTTGGGGTTCAGTATCTTGCTCAAGGATACTTGAAAAAAGACTCAACTTGAAAGTATTTGAAAAGCTGATCACTAATTACTTTCCCTTTATTTCTTAAAACAACTAACATTAACGCTATTCATTCCCTGCAAGTTAAGAACCATGTAGAACTAATGTCACGTTAAAATGAACCAAAGATAATTTTGTTTTGTTTGTTCTGTTGTTAAAATGAGATTACATTTGGTGAAGAGTGCATTATGACTTGTTTAAAACTCAATACTCAAAGTTTAGGACTTGGGACTAGGACTAAGACTAGAGACTTTCTTCTTGTAACAAAGACTTGGTCCCACCTCTGCAAAACACCGTATTGGTAAAGTTAACCAAGTGTTGTCAGTGCCATATTGACCCACACAGGGGTCAATATTTAACCTAGTGAGTTAGTGTATATTAGCATTATAGATATAGCAATGTTTAAATTCTACGTTTGGTGATATTCTTTATCTGATAGCCCACAGGTCCTATTAAAAGACCGAAATCAGCAATAAATTGATGCTAAAAATTATCCGTGTATCAAAGCCTCGTTGTTGTATCGCTCCATTGTTGTCCAAAAACTATTAAAAACACATCAGTGAACTACAACACTGACCCGGGTGACATGTTACCATGTAAATTCTCCCATTTATGGAGGTTGTTATGCTCAGTTTGTGTTGAAACTCACTGATTCGGGGTACATGGGGTGGCCGAAAACACTTCAAACTAAAACTGAACATTAAAACCTTCATGAAGGGAGGATTTACTGCAAGACTGTTGTATTAGACTGCATTCGTTTTAGAAAGGTGTACCTAATAAACTGGCAACTAAATGTATTTGTGATTAGTTAAAACTGGTAGTTTTCATTCTGGGTCTAAATGTGTCTTTGACCCTCACTGTTTCTGTCAGCCCCGGTATGTTCCAGAAGATACTGTGCTGTTGGTGGTGCTGTGACTGGTAGTCAGTGACATTTCCTGCGGTGGTGATGGATCACCATGGGCTTTAATTTGGCTCTAGTGTGTAAATCTCTCCTCAGGAAGACGTGTGTTACCAGGAGTGAGTCAGCAGTCCAGTCTCAGACCACTACAGAGTGTCTGCTGGCCTCTGCTGGGAGGAACGGCAGCTACAGGAGCACATTCTTGTTCCCTAAAAAATCCCAGCATTTGCCACCCAAGAACTCAATTACAAGATAAATAATTCAAACAATCTGACTGCAAATGAAAAGAACTATTAGAAATGCAAGGGGGCTTGGGAGTTGGACGGTGGGTGGGCTGGGGGAAGAAAATGTTGGTGTTTATTACATTTATTGTATGTATTCCTTTGTCATGGAAACAATCAATATAACGATATTTATTTAAAAAAATGCTGAAGAAATATTGTTGTATAATAAAGATGAAAGAGTTTCGTTATAAATGTTGTTGTAAAATCCTATTGAGGGTGAAGATTGTGAATAGAAAGATGATGTTTCACAGTTGTGCCTGAACTTTTAACTTCTGTTACTGAGTATAAGTATTGAGAAAACTCTGAAATAAACTAATTTTACGAGCTATCTGCCACTTTCTAAGATCTCAGTTTGTTGGAGTCTGAGAAAAAACGAACAAAAAATACTTTTTTTCATTCAGTCTGTCTTGATTCACCTTCCTTTACCTCCCATTGTTACATATTCTAACACAATACAGGTTGGGTTTGAATTATGTCTGAACTATTGCATCTGCAAAGGCTTCCAGTTGCATTAAACTACAGAATAAATGCCTTTGAAACTGCACGATATTGCAAATGCACCAACTGATTTCTGTTAAATTACTATTATTCTATCACATTTAAGCACTGAACGCACATTAGATTGCCCTTTATCGCCTTTATTTTAAAAGTTATTTCGAAGTAGGTGGTATCCCAAAAACAAAACAAAAGAAAAACAAATAAAATAAATAAAGTTCATTTTTTCCGTTTTTTAAATGAAAGTAATCCCTATCACTGTCTATGTGCAGCAGCTGTGTGTGGCTCCGGAGGAAATGAGCATGGTATCTACATTTAAAAATGCCTTTGCATCTTTACGTGCCATGCGTGTGTATTCCACACCCTGACTCTCAGCAAAACAGAGGCAAGGGAGGACTGAGCGATGTTGGACGCGTTATTATTGCAACCAACGGCACAGTGAAACAAATTGGAAACCCCCCAGAGCTGACATATTGATTTCTAAGGTAAAGCTCTTTATGTTTCTTTTTGCATTGCGGTGAAATGACAGTAGATGGTGGTGGGATGGAGGACGCTTCGCGGCATATGCTTCCAGTGCGTGTTTCAGTGTCTGTCAGCTCCAGCAGAGGTGGCTAAGATTAGACATTTTGGGTAGTGGCTGCGCATTTCTTAATGTGGGTGTCAGCCCGACCTGCAGAAATGACGACGTAACGCTGAACTTTGCGGTGCCAGCCGGTCAGGTCGGCTGCAGGAGGCGGATGCCCACCTGCATTCAACTGGGGCTGAACATTTTTATTTCCTTATGTTTTGTTGTCATTAATAAAAACCACTGCGAGCTGCATATGTGCTCGTTTAGCAGAATCAGGTGTTCATTATTGCATTGTTCCCAGCCAGGATGTCTCCACCTCAATGCTCTCATATTGAAATGCTGCTCAGTAATATCCCTGCTGCTGCTGATGCTGCTGCTTTCCTGTAAATCAGAGCTGTGACCAGGCCCATGGCTGCTGTCTGCCAGGATACACATTCAGCTGACTTGGAGCAGAAAAAGGACCCAGAAGCTTGAAACAGGCTGCACAGAGATCAGTCTCTGAAATCATTCAAATTTGTATTGTGCAGAAATCTGAAGAAAATAGCAACTACTCCTCTGAAAAATCTCTATAATGTTGATAAATGAAGTTATAATCTGTTTGTAGTAAATGCAAATGACCATACTGTGTCTCACATGATATCATGTGATACATAAAGCATCCTTCTAAAGCCCTTCGTGCGTAATTAGGTCTCTACTGGTGAGTTAAAAGCATCTGTGGTTGTGATGACTCCTATTCAGGATCTTGTTGACTCTTGAAGGAGATGGTTGGACAGTCCAACATCAAGTGATTTTCTTTTCCAACAGAGTGTCAGAGAGTGACTTCCTTCAACCAGGTTTCTGCTTCTTTCTGTAGCAGCTCACTTTCTTAGCAGCCAAAATCAATCAGTCAAATGATTTCTGCTTTATACTTTCTCTGCCAGTTTCTCTGTGATCTCTGGGCTATTTGCATAGACTGCGGTGTTACAGGAAATGTGGTGTCTCCATGGAAACTGAGGCTGTCAAATGATGATGACAAAGTGATGTTAATATTTGAAAGGCCGCCTGTTAATCTTCCAAGGCTGCGAGCGTCTCTCCATTAAAAGCTCATTACAGAATGCATCTAATCTAACCCCTGTGCTTGTTTGCAATTATAATCTCTAAAAATAACCCCAGTCACACTCACAGGTCCTGATAGAGATTAATATGTGTTATGGATTGAACACAGATCTCCTACTTCCTAGAAGAGAAGAAAAGATTATCCTACAGTACTTAAACTGTGAAGGATGAATAGAAACAGATCTGCTCTAAACCGGTAATTGTGTTCCTCAAAATGTCATATCAAGAATGGCCAAGATACACATTCACTGCAGCTTGAACCCCCACGCAGTCACACTCCCCTTCTGTAAAGAGTTTTATTTAAACTCTTATGATTTAGATATGAGATCGGATAGCGGGAAGACTGAAGGTAACAGCAAGGAGAAAGAAATGATTGTGAAAGATAACCTACATCTTATTTTCTCCAAAGCCCCTCAAGGACCTCTGAAGGTCTCTGAGATCCCACTGTGGGACACGATGGCCTAGATATCTCTCTTTCACATGATTTATCATTACAGTGTGAAACTCTAGTAGAACATGTAAAACCTTGAGGTATCTTTATAATTGAAAACATAAGAAAGTATACAATAGTCAATAGAGTATTGATACTGTGGATGCAAAAGCACGAAACTAGGATAAAATAGGATTAAATGACACATTATTTGACGATCAATTTGATATTCATTTATTTTATTTCAAATTACAAGAGTTGCTTTTTGAAAGTATTAGAAGGCACACAGTGAATAAAATGATAACATACTTAAATTAAATAAAGCAAAAATATTATGAAATACAAGACAAAGTACAAACATTTTTCCATGGGTCAACAAACATTATAGAAAGGTGCATTCACAATTCCAAGTTATACATAAAACATATCATATTATTAATAAAACATTTTAGAACTAAACATTTCCCAAATACCAAAATTAAAAAAAAAAAAAAAA